TCGAGATGGTTTGGGGTGAGCTGGACCGCAGAGTGAAGGCAAAGGGGCCAACAAGTGCTAAACACCTCTGGGAACTCCTTCAAGACTGTTGGAAAACCATTTCAGGTGACTACCTCTTGAAGCTCATGGAGAGAATGCCAAGAGTGTGCAAAGCAGTAATCAGAGCAAAGGGTGGCTATTTTGAAGAAACTAGAATATAAAACATGTTTTCAGTTATTTCACCTTTTTTTGTTAAGTACATAACTCCACATGTGTTCATTCATAGTTTTGATGCCTTCAGTGAGAATCTACAATGTAAATCGTCATGAAAATAAAGAAAACGCATTGAATGAGAAGGTGTGTCCAAACTTTTGGCCTGTACTGTATATATAAATCCCCAATTACATTTGTGAATCCTTTTTTGTGCATTTATTCTTTTTGAGACTGTTCTAGCTCCATATGGAAGAGGTCTCACAGCCCGTTCCAAGCCTGGCATTACACAACATTTAGTTATTATTATAATATTTTCATTTCATTTAGATGCTGATTTCATCACATCTTAAAGGGCCAGTGTGTAAAATGGGTTGAAAACAGTGAGCACTCCAAAAAAACTCCGGTAACACTCCAGGGGGTAAAAGACTCCGTCCCAAACTCTGACTCTTCTAGCGTAACAGACACTTCATACACACATACTTGTTTACCATACCAAGTTGGGACCCCCTCCCCTCTCTGCTCCAACAATCTCCAGCCCGCATACTGACTGACAGCGTAGCCTGTAAACAGAGCTCAGCTGTTTATTTAGCCTAGCAATATCTCTGGGCTATAGTAGCTGCAATGGACGACTTTGAACGCGATTTTGAAGAGTTTCTTGTAGCGGACACAGATCCAGAGCCATACCTGTTTGAACCGGAGCATAGAGATGAGGAACTCCATGTGTTTGATGCTGAGGGGGCGAGAAGAGAGGCTGAATGCACAGAATGGGATTCGGTGCTACCATCGTTGGGGAGATATATCATCAAGAGGAAAAGGAGTGAAGTTGCGTCTTCTTTTCCTCGCAGATGATGGTTCGGGTTCATTCTCTCCTGTTGCGTGGTAGGTGTGGTCCATTCGCAAACTTTATAACTAAAAAAACTTTTCACTACTCTCTATCGACGAACTACTAACACTCTCTGCTGTTTCCTCCTCCTTCTTCCTTCCTTCCGCTGTCTTCATTGGTTTATTTATACACGCGAAACGCGTTCTCTGGCTGGCTGGATTGTCTGCTCGGTCTGCCGTACATACATGGCGGCGCAAGATGGCGACCTCTCTAAAACAAGGCCCTTGCTATATATATATA